TCCAGTTCTACAACTCTTATTTTTTGTACACTACATGGCGTGATTATGGATGTAAAGGAGAAGAATGGCAGGTCCGTTTTCAGTTCTTACTTTACAGAAACCTGAATTTTGCTCGGTTAAATACTCTTGCTACTTTTAGATGATCCCAATTTGTATATCGTTCTTCTTGATCGCCTGTGGCAACTCGGTTACTCTACTGATGGTATTTATACATAAATGGAAGCAAAGCGGCTTGTACGCAACATCGCTGGGATTTACGACGAAATACCGTTCTAAATCAATTTCAAAACTAGGCTGAACCAGATGCTCTGTCTATCGTCGCCCCTTGTTTTTGCGGTGACGTTATGACTTTCAGGTTCCATATAGTCCCTACCTGCCGTAGTTCTGCTCTTTCTTTATGTCGCATAATCCATGATGATTAAATAAAAAATGATAAAAAGTTCTATAAACTTCATCCATCGCATGAAAATTACATCCTGTCCTCTTACTATGGTCCTATACTTCCATAGAAGATTCATTTTTCTGTAAACAAAGAGTCCTCACTCAAAACATGCCACCTACATCTAGGAATGTATGACCTCAGATTAAAAGCGCTTTTCCATTAACTTTCAAGTACGAAACTGGGTCGCATTTTATAATTTATCCTCACAAGCTATTTCATACATATAATAAGAGTAACTGCTGACAATTATTAAGGTAATGAAATGAAACCTAGCATAAGTCTGACAAAGGAGAAGCATTTTAAAAAATAAATGCTGTTTTACTTAGCAAATGCTAACAAAGCAATAGGAAATTTACAGCTCCCTAGATAATACTGCATATCTCTCCGCCTTCATTCTCGATCTTCAATGAGGACGAGTCATCAACATAAAAAGGTATTCAAGCTTGAAGGTTGAAGAAGGGACTAATTACATACGTTCTCCATGTTCTGGGAGTTGATGAGACCAATCTGCAGCTTGAGGGCCCATCGTCAAGTTGCGTTTTGATGAAGTACTATAAATTGGCAAGACTTCGCTTGCCTTAAGCGGTTGGGTCTGAAACGGTTTTGTTATTAACAACCCTAGTTTTGTAAAAAAACGCCTAAGAAAACGACGGTCGCAGTATGGTCAACTATTTTCAGCAGGCTGTGTTACCTTCAAGTAGACCATTGCATCAGTACCAAAGCCCTCCATGGAAACCAGGAACATGTCACCATGAAAGTAACGGGCATAAAGACGTGACAATGGAAGTCCATAACCATAACCAGCCTAGATAACCCAACTTCATAATGCTAGTGGTTATTTGTAGCATCTTCAGAAGAGAGCAAAACGTGAAAATCAACTCTCTAAGAATTAAAAAGGACGGTATCGGCTGCAACGATTTAATTCGTCATACTTACCAGCGGTGGCTGAGTACCATCTCTTGGTGGTGGCGGTGCGGTACTATACATATAATTAAATAAGTACTTGAGCTTTGTTCTAGAAACCCCTCCACCACGATCCGTTATCTAAAATAAAACGCATTTTAATCGCATCCAGAGCAAAAGGCTTAGTCTTTCCCTCAACCCTAGAAAGGTTTAGTTCCCACCTTAATTGACAGATCCTCCTTCCCCAGCACCAACCGGATCTTCAAATCTGGTAGATCCTCATCAACGCCAAAATGTTCAACTGTTGCCCTCATAGCATTCTAAAAAAGAAAATGTTCTATCTACATTTCTAATACTTCGAAATTTACTTGCATTTGAAAAAAAGACCAAGTCCATCAAATCGGTACTGATGGGAAAGTGAACTACGAGCGGCAGCCAAAAATTTTTTGCAAGAACATAAATGAAGATATTAGAACGTGGTTCTCAAGCAGCTCTTTTTAAATTAGTCTCTGTTCTTACCTATTTACAGTCTCTGTTAGTAAAGGTCTAATAGTCCGACCGAGAAAGACTTCATAATTATTGCCGCAAAAAAACACTACAATGTGGACCTTTCTCACTTCTCTTCATTCCAAGCAAATCTGGCTCACATTTCAAGTCACAAGAGTTGTCGCTTGTCTTTTTAAGGATCAAATTGGAATTACTTCACTGGACATAAAAGACTTTATATGGATATGACCCCCAGACAAATAATCTTTACACATATCCTCTTAATGATTACAAAGCCGTTTTTAGACCTCACCTCCAATAACAACTCGTCCAAAAAGCCCAATTAACTGGAATGACCAAGGCGAGCCACTCTGGTACGGAGTAATCCATTACCAAAACAAGAAGTGAGTAATCTGCCAAAATTTCACAAAAAGACCGCTACCTTTTCCTTCTACTGTTGTTTTCCCTTCCCCACTCAGCTACATTCAGCTCCTCCACTACCACCATAAAACAGCTCCACCGACTTGGGTACAAACCTCCATGTGAATCTTACTGAACGATTCTGACGAAACACGCACCTCAAAGACGCTCGCTTTTCTAATGGTGTTACACATAAACCGAGCATGTTCCTTTGCAGACTCCCAAAGGAAACTTAAATCGTTACTGACCGCGTACAGAAAAACCAAGGTCAGAACGATCAGAATTTAATTTGAGATCAATCACCTCCCACAGATTAGCCACAACACACTATAATAGCATTTGGTTTTTGAAAGTAAGTTACCCCGCGCAAGCTTTCTGGCTGCTCCTCGTGTGTCGCAACACTTTCACCAACATTCAGAAAAAATACTGGAGAAATTGATAACTACATTTATTGAAACCGAATTAACAGGGAAAAGTACAAATGCTGGAGGTTTTAAAAACTCATCGTGATCATTTTACCTTGAAAAGCTCGAACAAAATATGATATAGGTGTGATGGGACTGTAACAATTGTTATCGGACTTCCTGGATTCACAGTGTTTTGCATGTCAATTTTAATAGCAGGGGCCGTTAAGTAATACCTGAATTTTAAGCCAGAAAGTATCAAAAGCAGGATTCCAAAAGAATTTGACATTCTAAAGCTCAAAAACGACGTGTATTAAGCACATCTACGAGTGAAGCCTAAGTGAGAAAAATACTCTAATTTTCAGAACACAGTGACCAGAAGCAGCTAC